TCCCTCTCCCACTCCCCCTGCTTGTGTTCCTGCTCTCGCTATCTCTCTCTCTGTCAAATAAATAAAATATTAAAAAAAAAAAAAGGATACATAATTAAGAATAAAACACAGCAGGACTCCCTGAGGCCTCAGAAGGTACCTGTGTGAGCCGGGGGTCCTGAAATTCCTGTTTCGCTCACTTCAGGGAAAGTACTGCTCTGGGCTTAGGGTAATGTGCCGTAACCTCACCTCGGATCGGATTCCTACCAGAGTCTGAGTTAAAGAAGTCTGACCATTGCTGGGGCACCATTCATCACAATTATTTTCCCAGACAGTGCTTGGGAAGTTTGCGTTTTGCGCTTGTAGACCTGTATGTCAGGGGTCTCGAGCCACGGACAGCACCTCATTCTGATCTCTTGGCCTGCCACTGGGGAAGGGGTGTCTTCTACATCCTGGCAATGCATGTCACTTCCTCACCGCGTTTTCCTCGTCCCTTGTTCCTGTACACATTCTCGAGGCATAATGTTCCCTTCACTCAGCTGTCAAGGAGGAAACTCAGAGCCTCCACCACGAAAGCATTCTTCACAATCAGACTTTCCCTGGAGCATTTACTGTTTGGAGCTGTTGCCTCTTATTTACAGCAGCTGTTAGCAGCGGTTGAGAGGGAGGTTCTTCGCTGAGTGACAGGACAAGAAATTGGGAATGCAAAATGTGTATGATCTACGATCAGATTTGTGGAATTCAAAAAAAAAATGTTTCTTTTTTTTTTTTCTCATGCAGAAAGACACTTCTTGGGCCGGTTTTTGGGTCTCCCATTGAGCAGATACAAATCCTCCCAGTGAAAACCACCTTGGAACTGCAGAAACGCTACATGGTGTTTATTAACAGAGACAAGGTAGCAGCCTTTGCTCTCTGCCCGGGGAGATGACTCTGGGGTTGGATTAGCAGTCAGCCCCAAGTAGAATCAGACTCCGGGATGCCAGGTGTCACAGCCAAGCCCAGCTCCTTCATCTCGGTCAACAGTGATACTGAAAATTGCCATAAATTAGTGGAAATTGGGTCTTAGGAAGCATTTCTGAGCAGTTATTGCATTTTCTGTACTCCCATAAAGACATGTGGTCACCAAAGGATTTTTTTCTTTCCAATTTATTTACATGGAAAAATCTTATAAAGACATGCAAACTAGCTACACTTAGTTCTACGTTTAATAATCTATTGAGGGGTGCCTGGGTGGCTCAGTCGGTTGGGGGTCTGCCTTCAGCTCAGGTCATGATCCCAGGGTCCTGGAATCGAGTCCCACATCAGGCTCTCTGCTCAGCAGGGAGCCTGCTTCTCCCTCTCCCTCTGCCTGCCTCTCTCTGTCAAATAAATAAATAAAATCTTTAAAAAAAATAATCTATTGAAAAGCATAAAATCATAGGATTCCAGAATTATTCTGGAAAACCTTGGACGTCTGACTATGAAGACGGGTAAAAGCTTCCTTCCTGTGTCTCTACCGCAACCTGGCGTCTCTCTCCTAAGGGACCAGCCCACAGGGGTCAGTGTGTGTGTGAACCTCTAACCCCATGAAACGGGGGCTCTCACACACTGAGGTGGTTCCAGATACGCAGGTCCTTCCGGTAAACAGCACTGGAGGTGACCCGTGAATGTGCTGGGCCCGAGCCTGGGGCCCAGTTATCTGAATCTGAATTTTCAATGACATATTCCTCTCTAGGTTGGACTTCAGATCTTACCAGTTGATGGCAATCCACACAAGACATCCGCTATTATATGCCACCCCAACGGGGTGGCGGGAATGGCCCTTTCCTACGATGGCTGCTATGCCTTCACAGCTGGAGGACAGGATCGATCGGTGGTGCAGTGGGAAATCAACTTAAGGTACGTGATCAGTCCCTACTTCAGGCCCGGCCCTCGGGTTATTCCCCATGACATCTGTCTATATGCGTGTGCGGACAAAAGATTACTGTTTTGCTTCAGGGACCAGTGGTATTTGCGGCGAAGGCAGTGTGATTCTACCTTGTTCACACGCGGCCCCTGAAATGCTTCCCACTCTGTCATCCGCAAATTCACACCAGCTAGAAAGATCTTGCCCAAATCTCCGAAGCCTGTGTAATAGCAATAGTGAGAGTATTATTTGAAACTTGTTTCCAGCCTGCTCTTCTCACCCACCTGCTCTGAGCTGAGACTCTGCCTTGGGTGAGGCTGGAGGGGTCCAGGGTTGAGCATCACAGAGTACTCGGACTTTGAGGTCAAAGAGACCTGGGTTTGGATGTGGAGCCTCCTTTCTGCTGGCTGTGAGACCTAGGGCCTGTTTCTTAACATCTCTGACCTTTAGAGTCCTTGTCTGTGAAATGGGGGGAAAGGAGGATAATAATAGGGACTTCTATAGGATCCTTGTAAGGATTGAATAGAGCAGAGCTAGGGGCTCAATACATTAACTATTTCCTCTCTTCTATTCTTTATGAAGGCCTTGCTAAAGAGCCTTACTAAAAAGGGCAAGTACTACAGCATCCCCTCATCCACCCAAACTCCGTGAGCTGCCACAGGGCAGAGCCAGTTCCCATCCCTGAGCACCTTCTCCCAGCGCCTGCCTCTCAGATAGCCTCCTGCCTGGCAGCGTCACACTCAAAAGCTGGGTACAGACAGCTCGGAGGCACCTTCCTTCCTGAAGAATCCTTCCTTCCTTCGATTCATGTGCCAAGTGCACATCTCTCTTTTATGGCAGACATCGAAGCTTCTTCTCTTAACCTGAATAGGAGCAGAACTAACCAGGTGAATCTGCTTTGGATCCATACTTGTTTCAGGTCGCAGTTGCAACTCTGACCTTCGCCTCTGCCTTCAGCTAAGAGAGCAGATTTTGGGAATTTGGGAATTTAGAAGCTGGAGGTGAGCTCGCACATTGAAAAGCACTTCCCGATCATGTGCCCAGAACAAGCTGCTTGATTCCTTGACAGCTAGTCTGTCACCTGGAACGGTGGGAGCGACACCCTGGGGACAGAACAAAATCTCCTCCTTTTCATTTTTGTCCTCTTCTCCATAATCATGGTAGAGATTAAAGGAAAAAAAAAAAAAGGCACCCGCTTTCCAATGGCTTTCCTGGGCCTGGCCAGAGTCCAGGCTTCTGAGAATTTCAATTTAATCTGTTGTGGGGACAAAGGATCATTATAAACTAATTAGCACTTCATTGCTGCTTCTGGTGTCTTAATATGTTCAGTGTTTCACTAATGGGAAGAAATGTAACAACCCCAAACAAGTAAACAAACACAATTCCCTGCTGGTCTACCGACTGAGTCAGAGGGTGAAATTAAGATGCTGCGTCCTCTCACGTGCCCACGATTTTTGTCGGGGTGCTCCTGGGCCCAGATACTGTCCCTGCAGCACGTCGATCTTCTCCCGGGTGCACCCCTCCCTCCCTGGCATCTTCTCCTAGGGTTCAGTCCACACACACTGGGCCTTTGCCCCGTCTTTGCTGGCATGCCCCCCTCTGCTCCCCTTGTCTTGCACCTGTTTTTAAATCTCCTGTTACTTTTTGATGCTCGACCTCACACCCACCTCTAGTCCTGCTGTCGTGCTCAGAGGACAGCAGAAATCCCCGATTCAAATACCACCTTTCCTGCCTGCTTGCGGCATGACCTGAGGCTAGTCCCTTAACTTCTGAGTCTCAGTTTCTCCATCTGTTAAATGGGAATATCATCACCGTTTTGAGAGTAATGGTTACTACCATTGCTGTTCCTCCCCCCGCCTCCTCCCCTGGGGAGCATTTGCGAACACTTACTATGTGCTTGCTATTTGCTGAGCACTTAACATGTGTTACAGCACTCGCTGCTTCTCCTGATTGAGCTCATTTCCCAGAAGTACTGTCTGTGTGTCTCGGCACACAGTAGGTTTTCAATAAATGTGCTTCCCCTTTGTGCCCTGATGACGCCCTTTTTTTGTTGCAAGCATAAGGAACCCAGCTTAAGCACAAAGGGGAATTCATGAGACGGTCATGGACACCTCAGGTCCACCCTGCAGGAAGAGCAGGGACGGCGTGCCCTCAGCATTTGCTCTCTGCCTGGCTCTGCTGTTGGCTTCGTTCTCAGTACAGCTGGGTTTCATTGCCCAGCACGACCATGGCCACTGACAGTCCTCAGATTCCCACAAGCTGGAGCTCTGACCACAGGGACAGTGGGTCTCTTTCCCTGGCTCTCGTTGGACCGCCCCAGTCCTGTTCCTCCAGCTCTCTTGGGTCTCTTGACAGTGGCCAGGAAGCAGGAGACGTATGACAGTCCTGACCACCAGAGAGCTGCTCCCAGGGCATTCGGAGCTCCTGTGAGTCGTCCCCAGACACTCCGGGTAGTGACAGTCTCCTCTGCATCACTTCTGGCCTTCGCCTGGCCCTGTTCCAGAGCCACGTGGCTAAAAGTGGCCTCCCACTGAGCCTGTCGGGATTGGGCCTGGGCAAGGCCTGGAGGCCACAGAGAGGGAGCCCTCTCAGCTAGACACCTGCCTCGATGGCCAATATCAGAGCTGGGGGAGGCCTGGGCCCTGCTACAGAGGGGCCTCAGACCCAGCTGGAGAACACACCAGCCCCTCCCCAGGCCCCAATGCAGCCTGCTTATGCAGGGCCTGACAAGACGGCCAAGACGGTTTTGTGGCTGACTCTTTGAAGAGAGGCATAGGTGTATATTAATACCCAGTTCAACAGAAAAGAATAACCCTAACTACCTTGTACCGAGCCTTCTCTGGGCCAGGCCCTGTGCTCACTGCTTTCCGTGCATTGTCCGATTTCATCTCATAGCCATTCTGTGAGGCAGGGACTATTGGTATCCCCACGTGGTATCCCCATGTGTCTGGAGATAGCTCCCAGGTGTTAAAGGACCCTCCCATGCACTGGAGTATGTGGTGGGGCTGGGATTCATATCCGGCTCTTTCTGATTCAAGAGCACACCTTGACAAACACTCATCACAGGAGAAGAAGAGAGGGCTTCGTGTCCAGCCCTTTATGTGGCTTCACTCCATTTCCATAGCCACCCGTGAGGCAGACCTGTAATTATTCCCATTCTACAGATGGGGAAACTGGGGCTCAGGGAGGTTATCGCCCGTGATCATATTGCTTACAGGTGGCAGAGCCAAGACTCACACGCATGTCCTTCCGACTCCAGATTCTGGATACTTAACCACTTCCCCACTGTGGTCTACACTGAAGTGTGTTTTAATAACCTCACGAAGAGGCTAATGGCCTGATTAGCAGAAATCCAGTTAGTGGATTATTACGATGATTTCGTATTATGTGTATTTTGTATGGGGCAAAGTCAGTCTCCTACAAAAAGTAGGTTTTCTTACCATTTACAGTGCCTATTTTTAGAAAGCCTGATCCTGTGTTAGAGAGCAGAGGGTTATTTTTATCTGACTGGCATGGGTCCCTGGTGGCCTCCCGAGTTTTTATGGAAGCAATTAGTGTTGGCGGCGTACCTGCACTTATCCCGGATTTTGGCTCTGGTCATATGCAGATCTCACGTTTCGGGCGAAGCTGCTCTGCTGGGGAGGACTGTGGGTTCAGCACCAGGAGCCCTCCCTCCCTCCCTCCCTCAGGAGAGCCGTGTTCCCCAAAGACTGCAGACAGATTGCCAAGTGCCTGCCCTGTCATCAGCGAGAGAGTGTCACTGTCATTAGGGCGGGTGCCCTGCACCACCAGATTCCACATGGAAATGGAATTTTTCGTTTTCAGCTTCATTTTCGAGGGAATTTTGCTAACAGGTTTCTAGAGCCCCTGACTGAATGGGTGCTGTGATACCCTGCAGAGGTCCGTGGGGCCAGGCGTGAGCGCCTTCTAACGGTGATGTTTCTGTTGCTCTTTTAGTGCTCTGGAGGCAGCAGTTTCTCTTGGGGGCGAAGACTTGACCCCGTTCTATGGTCTGGTGCCTGGTGGCAGGGAAGGAAAATTCTACAGGGTAATTGTCCTCAGAGTAAACACTTGCTGGTAACATCTAGTTAAGTTCGTAAAAGAGATGTGCCTGGGGTGAACCTTCTCGCTTTTTTCCAAAGCTCTTTTTCCCACTGAGCTCAAAAATGTACTTTCTAGAAAATGTCCTTGGAGTCCTAATGGATGCTTCAGACTGAAGCCAAAATGTGTGTTGTGTTTCCATTTTATTTCCACGTAGGAGCTGGAAGACTATTTTTACTATTCTCAGCTCCGTAGTCAAGGTATTGATACAATGGAGACCAGGAAGGTGTCGGAACACATTTGCCTGTCAGAGCTTCCTTTTGTCATGAGAGCAATTGGCTTTTACCCATCGGAAGAAAAGGTAGGTAGAAGGAAAACAAGAACAGCAGTGGGATCTGTTATTTATGAAAATGACCTCTGGGGGCAATAATTATAGGTCAAGGTAAAAATTTAACGTTATTCTCACATAAATGGATCAGAAAGAATATTCTGGGCATACCAGACACGCTCCTTAGAAACAGACGTACCATAAAGATATACCTGAAAGTCTTATTCCTTATCGGAGTCTGACACTGGTAAGAGCTTGGTTTTGGAATTAGACAGACTGGCCTTCACTGAGCTCAAGGAGGTGACGCCTGTGAAGCCCCAGGGTGCAAGCCCAGGAGCATAGGGAAGGCCCAGTGAATGGTCATTATCGGGGTGATTTTCAGTGCTTAGTTGCTGTTCACTGGCCTGTGTGAATGGGGCACCGCTGGGAGGTGGGTGTTCGTCCTGGGCTGTGGGGCTCAGAAGAAGCCCTCGGTCCTAATGACCCTCACAAAACATGCCCAGCTGTAAGGGGCTCCCAGGGACCAAAAGCACTGCAGGGAAAATGGTCTTCCTAGAGACCGTGGTTCACAATGCAATTGACTGGGTTTTCCTTCAGATGCGAGATGTTTAACACATTTTCATTGTGGAAAGTTTGGAAAAGGTACACAAGTGAAATGAAGAACATAATTACTTATAATCCCACTACACAGATGTAACAGTTATATAAAATTTTAAAAAACTAATTGGTACCATGTTGAATATGTATTTTTATCCTATATTTCCACTTGATGTTATAACCATTTTGCATTTATTAATAATTCTCTGAAAACATGATTTTTTAAAAAGATTATTTATTTGAAAGAGAGAGCAGAGCAAGAGAGAGAGAGCATGAGTGGGGGGGGCACAGGAAGAAACAGGCTCCCCACCGTGTAGGGAGCCTGACTCGGGGCTCAATCCCAAGACCCTGGGATCATGACCTGTGCCGAAGTCAGACGCTTAACCAACTGAGCCACCTAGGTGCCCCCGAAAACATGATTTTTAAAGGACATATCTTAATTTTATAACTTTTTCTGATTTAGAAAATAGAACTATAAAACAGAAATAGAAATTACTCAGAGATAATCACTGTTAACATTTTGGTGGACTTCCTTCTATTGTTTTATATATGGATATAGATACATCTATATTTTTAAATAAAAAATTGGCATTATATGGCATACATGTGTATATGTCCATGTATATCAACAGTTTACAGAGTATATGTATATATATGCACATAGATGTATGGATTTGTGCGTGTATATAGGTACATGTGTGTATACGTGTTTATATGTATATATTTATACCAACATTCTCAGTAACTATTGTTTTGTGAGCATGGTGGTAAAAATACACTTTTTTCCCCAGCTTTATTAAGATATAATTGACATACAACCTTATATAGTTTAAGGTGTACGGTGTAGTGATTTTATATATGTATTGTTGCAAAATGATTACCACAATAAGGTTAGTTAACATATCCATCATCTCACATAGTTAAAATTTTTTGTGTGTGGTGAGAACTTTTATTTATTTATTTTTCTTTTTTCAAGTTTTTATTTAAATTCTAGTTAGTTAACATATAGTATAATATGGGCTTCAGGAGTAGAATTCAGTGATTCATCACTTACATACACCACCCAGTGCTCATCACCATAGGTGCCCTCCTTGATGCCCATCACCTGTCTAGTGCATCCCCCACCCACCTCTCTCCAGCAACCCTCAGTTTGTTCTCTGTTGTTAAGAGTCTCTTATGGTTTATTTCCCTCTCTCTCTCTCTCTTTTTTTCCTTCCCATATGTTCATCTGTTTTGTTTCTTCGACATATGAGTGAGATCATAAGGTATTTGTCTTTCTCTGATTGACTTATTTCACTTAGCATAGTATACTGTAACTCCATCCATGTCATTGCAAATGGCAAGATTTCATTCTTTTTGATGGTTGAGTTATATTCCATTGTGTATACGTACCGTATCTTCTTTATCCATTAGTCAGTCAGTGGACATTTGGGCTCTTGGTGAGAACTTCTACAATCTACCTTCTAGCAGCTTTCAAATATACAATACAGTATTGTTAACTATAGTCACCATGCTGTACATAATATTCTCCAGGACTTTTTCATCTTGTAACTGGAAGTTTGTACCCTGGCAACCACTGTCTGTTTTCTGTTTCTGAGTTTGGGGTTTTTTTTCGATTCCACATACATGTCTTTCTTTCTCTGACTTATTTCACTTAGCGTGATGCCCTCAAGTTTCCTTCATGTTGTCCTAAGTGGCAGGATTTCTTTCTTTTTTTGGCTGCATAATACTCCGTTATATAAACATAAGTCACATTTTCTGTATTTATTCCCACCAACACTGCATGAGGGTCCCTTTTTCCCCACATCCTCACCAGCACTTACCTCTTGCCTTTTTTTTTTAAAGATTTTATTTATTTATTTGAGAGAGAGAAAGAGAGAGAGAGAGAGCATGAGAGGGGAGAAGGTCAGAGGGAGAAGCAGATTCCCTGCTGAGCAGGGAGCCCGATGTGGGACTTGATCCCGGGACTCCAGGATCATGACCTGAGCCGAAGGCAGTCGCTTAACCAACTGAGCCACCCAGGCTCCCTACCTCTTGCCTTTGAGGAGAGCAGTTCTGACCAGTGGGAGGCGAAAGTTCATTACAACTTTGACTTGCATTTCCCAGAAGATGAGTCATGCTGAGTACCTTTTCAAGTTTGACTATCTTTTTTGGGAAAATGCTTATTCAGGTCTTTGGCCCAGTTTTAAATTGTTTTTTTGTTTTTGTTTTTGTTTTTTGCTATTGGGTTGTATTAGTTCCCTATATATTTTAGATAGTAACCCCTTATCAGATATGTGGTTTGCAAAAAAAATTTTTTTAAAGATTTTATTTATTTGTCAGAGAGAGAGAGAGCACAAGCCGGGGGAGCGGCAGGCAGAGGGAGAAGCAGGTTCCCGCTGAGCAGGGAGCCCGATGCGGGGCTCGATCCCAGGACTCCAGGACCATGACCTGAGCCGAAGGCAGACACTCAACTGACTTAGCCACCCAGCCACCCCGCAAATATCTTCTCTCATTCCATAGGTCACCTTTTCATTTTGTTAATTCCCTATTGCTGTGCAGAAGCTTTTCGGTTTGATGTAGATGACATGCTTTCACGGGCTCTGTACTTAATTGAACCAGCCCCCAGCTGACAGACACACAGATTGTCTGAAGTGTTTGTCTGTCTGAGACATGGCTGTGAGGAGCATCTTTGTGTCTAGTTTTTGCATACTCCTCTGATTATTTTCCAGTCTCCGAGTCCTAGAAATAGAATTACTGGGTCAGAGAATAGGAACTTCAAGGCTCTGCTGCCAAACAGCTTTCCCAAAATGTCACATTTCGCAGGCCACCATCAGGCATACAGAAGGCCTGAAACCCAGCGGAGCTGTGGTACCCACATTGCTGGCTGGCTGGCTGCATTTTAGGGAAGTAAGCTGTGGTCCCCGTTATTTCTCCTGGCCCACCTAGAACCACCTGTTTTTGTGTACTCTGGGTATGACCGGAAGGTGACTTTTATTCTCCAAATAGCATCTGGAAAAATGAGCTCTGAGAGCCCAGAGACCCATGCAGAGACTTGAATGAGTACCTTAAGCACAGCGGGTATTCTAAGCTCCTCAAAAGGTCTTTTGACCAATGTACATTTTGTAAAAGTACATGCCCAGAAATGGAAGCGACTATGGAGAAAGTTTGTGCAACCCACATAAAAGTGTTCCTGAGAGCTGTATTTCCAAAGCATGTTCCTTAGAGCGGCCAGCTCCCAAACCAGCAAACTACATCAGAAGTACCTGGAGCACTTACTAAAAGAACAGATTCCTGGGCCCATCCTGGACCAAGCCAGTCAGAATATCCAAGTAGGGGGCCTGGGAGTCTGCATTTTCCCCCCTCCCCGGGTTGCAAACCCCTGCCTTGGAACAGTGGCCCCATGAGGTATTTACTAGGGCCACTAATGCTCAAGGAAGGATTAGACAAAGAGAAATAGGATTATTAGTCAGGACTCTCCTTTGGTTACAGGTTACCGAAACCTAATGCAAACTAGTTTTTGGTTCACAGGATTTCAAGTCTAGAGATAGAGGTAAAGCCCAGTATGACCTAATCTAGGCCCTCACGCTGCTGCCAGGAAGCGTCCTTCTCCCCGAGTCTCTCCTTCCTCCCTGTTGCCTTCCTTCTCATTGGATCCCTGGGCGCATGTTCGGCAGGCACAACTCCAGAGCCCCGGTCACTGCCCCCAACCTCCTTGCCATTGTCCTCGGGGCAGCTGCTACTCAGGTTGGCCACGCCTGGATGCTCCCATGCTCCCCCCGGAATCAGAGGCAGGGTCAGCCACCTTGACCCCGAGGACTCTGGGGCAGCAGGAGTGGGCTCCAAATGGAATTCTGCATAGGGAGAAAATGGGTCCACGATTCTGAGGCTTTAGGAGGTCACTGGACATTGGGAGTCTTGAAGTGAGGTGTATACATTTGGGACAACATTCCCCCAACTGGACTGATTGTGGAAACCTCTTTCTCATTTCACTTTGGAAATACTGCTTTGACTTCTCACCAGCATTCCCCGCCCCCCACTGCATTTCATCTTCTTTATTGTGTCTATAGTTCATCTTCTCCTTTTTTTCCCCAAACATTGATCTTAAGTTAATCCCCAGCTTCTTGGGGTGACTGGCTGGCCTAACTTCCAGACTGAGGAAGGGGAAAAAAGCCTATGTTGGTAAGAAGTGCAGGGACCCAGAACCTGTCTGATCTAGCTGCTCCCTCGGCAAGTCATTTCAACTATAGTCTGGGTTCCCGTGACCTCATTTATCAGAGGAGGCTGGCAGCAGCTCGCACCTCTAGCGATGTCACGAGGGTCCAAGGAGCACCCCACCTCGCATCACACAGAGTCGGTACTTAGTAGCCCCTCTTCTCACTTTAGTATTTCCTGTCAGAGGTGATGACACGGCCCCTCTTCTACTTTATTTAACTTTTTATCTTGGAAAATTCCAA